AATCCTGCTGAATCGAAAGATCCTAACTGCCTAAATGAAGATGATGGACCGATTACCCTAGGAAAATTTCATCCTCGTCGAAAGTATCCACAACGGAACGAAAGCATTCCACACGCTGAAAATCCTGCTGAATTGAAAGATCCTAACTGCCTAAATGAAGATGATGGACCGATTACCCTAGGAAAATTTCATCCTCGTCGAAAGTATCCACAACGAAACAGAAGCATTCCACAAGAAGAAAATCTTGCTGAATCAAAGGATCCCGACTGTCTAAACGAAGACGATGGACCGATCACAGTAGGAAACTTTCATCCTCGTCGAAAGTATCCACAGCGGAACGAATGTATTCCACAAGACGAAAATCTCGCTGAATCGAAGCATCCTGCCTGTCTAAACGAAGATGATGGACCAATTACCGTAGGAAAGTTTCATCCTCGTCGAAAGTATCCACAACGAAACGGAAGCATTTCACAAGTAGAAAATCTTGTTGAATCAAAAGCTGTTTGCAGTCTAAATGAAGATGATGGGCCGATTACCGTGGGACAATTTCATCCACGTCGAAAGTATCCACAACGAAACCAAAGCATTCCACAAGATGAAAATCCCGCTGAATCAAAGGATTCCAACAGTCTGAACGAAGATGGTGGACCAATTACCGTAGGAAAATTTCATCCTCGCCGCAAGTATCCACAAAGGAATGCAACCATTCTACAATATGAAAATCCTGCTAAATCAAAAGATCCCGATTGTCTAAATGTAGATGATCGGTCGATCTTTGTGGAAAGACCTTATCCTCGTAAGTATTCAGAGCGGAATGGAAGCATTCCGAAATATGCAAATCGTGATGCTTGAAAGGGTAGACAAGTGTTTCACAAACCGAGAATTTAAATGAGTATCAAGTACTCATAAAGGATACTGGCGTGCACGTAGTTTTTCACTCAGACGTGAAACAAGAGTTCAGCTTGCATTTATAATAGTTTTCGCTGAAAAAAACAAAAGCTGAGAAATACTGTGCCAGTCGATCGGCATGTTTTACGAATATTGAGTTGATCTTCTTCATAATTTCCAAAAGCTCTTCATTTCATTAGATTACATGCTAGTCTTTGAACAACGCAGAAGCCATCTGAGAAATTAGCGCTCAATGAAACTTTAGAATTTTTACCGCTATCCAATTTTAAAAATTGGGGCTACAGTAATTTCAAACATCCGATTTTTTAGTACAGCTTTAAATTTTTGATCAATGAGATTTCAACAGGAAGTGCCAGAAATAAAGTAGCGATATTATTTTCATACGGTTTTGAAGAGCTCTAGTTTTAAAAACTGAGTATTTTTTTCGAAAAACAATCTTTTCCTACTGAAACTCGAAAAAGTTAATGAAGTTCTTTTTAGATGTTTTAGAATTACCACTGGGCTTTTCTAGTTGGCTGTGCTCACCATCACTTAAGACTTCACTTACAGTAAACTATATTCATTCAAAACCCTATCACTTCCAGAGTATCATATAGAAAATCTTTCAAAATTAACCCATGAAATATCATTGAGCTCTTTCGTGGTAATATTTCTATATGAATAAAGTTTTTATTATTAAAACAAACCGCCTACTGTTGCCAATAAAAAAACACAAGTTCTCTTTTCACAACAAAGAAGTCACGTTTTGTTCAGCAAGATGTTTCACATTAAAAAACACCTTCTTCAAAATTTTCTACAATTTATTTTTACTTGAAAATACACGATCGTTAGCTACTTTATTTTCTACTCGGAAATCATGTTCCATGAAGTATCATTTTCATATATTTCTTCCAGTTGAACATAGTCTTTGATCCGTTCGTTAGATATTTTATCTAGCATGTATGACTCTTCATAGTGCAGGTCGTTTTGCTAAAAGGAATCTCGGCATCATTAAACTACTCATTTGTGTCTTATTTCACTGGCAAACGAAAACGCTTGGATACGTGTAATACAGAATACAGCATATCCTGTCTATCTCATTTTCACGACGAATTCGACCCCAAACTGATTGTAAAATTGGTTGCAGATATCCCAGAGATAACTTCATTAATTCCGCTACGTGTTAGAAATCGTTTCTTAAACGTGTTGCTAGATGAAGCAACGAGTTTGAAATGAAATGCATGAAACTATAAATCTTCTTTCTAAATCAAGATATTACTGTAAGGCTAATTCTCTCAGTTTTTTCTCCATTTCATAGTCAGCGAGTAACTTATGGTAGAGAATCTCCAATTATAACACTTCAGTAAAAAACTCAGGAATATTTGGTGCAAATGATATTTATTCTAACCAGACTTACAATATGTCATCGCATTAACTGAAATCTCTCAACAAATATTTTCCTGAACAAAACCACCATTTTTCTATAGTGACATTTCAACGAACATTTCTATTACATGAAAAGACATGTGATCGTTGTATTCGCAAAGAAAAACTCCCTGTTTGCGACTAAGTCGGAAATAGTGCCAAAAAAGTTAAGTTCTTAAGTTTTGCAACCCAAATAGTGCGAAAGACTAATGAAAGCGTAACTACAAGTAGAGTCTTTTCCACTAGACGATGACAATCGGCGAAAACACGTTGCACCAGTACAAAGATCTGATTCTCCAAAAACACCAGACGACCTAGTTGGTGAACTACCACCTCCATCTCGTTCTGAACCATCAGGTCCGCCATCTAGGCCAGGCCCACATGGCGGTACTTCTTCAAGTCCCTATCCTTCAATTGGCAAGCTTTCCGAAGGATGCTGTCCTGTAGACGTTTCAAAGGTTGTTGGCGTTTGTTGTTTACCATGTCTCTGGTGTTCTAAAAAATGTACTAACAGAGGCACTGGTTCAGGCGATTTCATTAAACCACCTCGACCTGGGCCAATCCGCCCTCAAGATGACAATTCAAATGAAGGTAAGGAAGCTCATTTTTCTATTAGACTCTTTCTGAGAAGTTACCATACCCGAACCATGCCCAAAGAAAATCAGGTTTAATGCTTGGATTTCTCACTCAATTTAACAATCGTTTGATTTGAGTCGTTAGGTGAATTCATATAATAATAATTATAGTAGACTTATTGAAACAGAAGATGTTAATTGATATTATTCGACTTGTATCGTTCATACGGGCATTGGAAACTCATAGAGCTGCATACAATGACGGATTCAGCTCTCTGTAGATGAGCTAATTTATGCCCAGACATAAAATCTCTGAGACAGCTGCAACATCTAGAAGAATACACAAAGTAGACTTATTTCACAATCAGATAAACACTTCGTATATAATCTTTTCAGTTACATATAAATCAGATCTATTTTGATCGACTGATTTTGAACTTTAGTCGCATCGTACTCTCCTCCAAGCAACAACAATCGATGCATACATATTGAACAATTAGAAAGACCTGATTCTTCACAAGGAGCAGACCACAAATGTGGTGGACCACCATCTCGGCCTCCTTCTTCTCCAACACCAAGCACATCGTCTAGCACAAGTTCGAGTGACCGTACCACTCCATCTCCCACTCCTACAAACGAAGACAATCGACGAATACACACTGAACAATTAGAAAGACCTGATTCTTCAAAAAGAGCAGACCACAAACGTGGTGGACCACCATCTCGATCTCCTCCTCCTACAAGACCAAGCCCTTCATCTAGGCCAGGCCCACATGGCGGTACTTCTTCAAGTCCCTATCCTTCAATTGGCAAGCTTTCCGAAGGATGCTGTCCTGTAGACGTTTCAAAGGTTGTTGGCGTTTGTTGTTTACCATGTCTCTGGTGTTCTAAAAAATGTACTAACGGAGGCACTGGTTCAGGCGATTCGATTAAACCACTTCCGCCTCGACCAAACCACCCTCAAGATGAAAATTCAAATAAAGGTAAGGAAGCTCATTTTTCTATTAGACTCTTTCTGAGAAGTTACCATACCCGAATCATGCCCAAAGAAAATCAGTGTTAATGCTTGGATTCCTCACTCAATTTAACAATCGTTTGATTTGAGTCGTTAGGTGAATTCATATAATAATAATTATAGTAGACTTATTGAAACAGAAGATGTTAATTGATATTATTCGACTTGAATCGTTCACACGAACATTCAAAACTCATATAACTACATACAGTTACGGACCCAGCTCTCTGTAGATGAACTAATTTATGTTTAGATATAAAACCTCTGAGACAGCTTCAATATCCAGAAAAATACATAAAGTAGACTTATTTCACAATCAGATAAACACTTCGTATATAATCTTTTCAGTTACATATAAATCAGATCTATATTGATCGACTGATTTTGAACTTTAGTCGTATCGTACTCTCCTCCAAGCAACAACAATCGGTGCATACACATTGAACAATTAGAAAGACCTGATTCTTCCAAAGTAGCAGACCACAAATGTGGTGGACCACCATCTCGACCTCCTTCTCCTCCAAGACCAGGCCCATCACCTAGACCAGCTCCAGATGACGGTACTTCTCCATGTCCTCCCTTCCCTCCAATTGGCAAGCCTTGCGATGGATGTTGTCCTGTAAACATTACAAAGGTTGTTGGTATTTGTTGTTTACCATGTCTCTGGTGTTATGACAAATGTAGTGACAAAGACAGTGGTCATGGTGAATCACCTCGGCCTCGACCAATCCACCATCAAAATGAAAATCCAGATAAAGGTAAGAAAGCCAACCTGTTCTGTTACACTCTCTCAGAAATAAGCATACTTCGACCACGCCCAAAGGAAATCAGTTTTAATATTCAGATTGCTCACTCATTCCAACAATCGTTTGATTTTAGTTCTTAATTGATGTGATCTAACTAAAAAGGTGAGATTTGAATGATTTGTTCTTTCGATCTCACGCTTTACATTGCAAATTGCTCGAGGTAAAGGTCGTTTTTGAAAACTGACTGTTCTTTTTTTTTGTATTTTGAAGTAAGCTACAAGTTTGAACTTAGTTCTCGTTACATTGAAATGAGCGTCTCACTTCATTTCTAGTGTATGCACGTCTGATTTTTGGAATTTATTACAAAGAATTTTTTTTCGAAAGTATCATAGAAGTCTATGAAATTTATAGTACCTATTGAGGATAGTTTTCGATAGAATTTTACTTTGCGGGATTTATTGATGAACTGCGTAGAGAGGTTTTGAATCATTGAAGAACTCATAAACGCACATTCAGTCATGTTTTTGAAACATAAAGCTTAGGACAGAAGTTCCAACTTAATTTGCATAAAAGAATTTTACATAGTGAAATAGATGGTTGTAAATTTGCTTGTGTTACGAAAAGATACCGCAAAGCACGTTCTAGAAAATGATTACCCATTGATTTCTTCAACTCATGTAGTAAGAAGGCTATAAGCTTAGAAAGATGCTTTATAAAACATAGAAATTAACTGTAAACGAAGCCTATGTGATGGTGCTTTCAGTAAAAGTTCCGTAGCTTCATCAAAATAATAGATTTTTCGATCAGGTTTGGTTTGATTTGATCAAAAATGATTCTTTGTCTATCTAGCTGCAAAATAAAAAGTTTAATGACGTTTTTCTAGTTCCTTGTAAGTATGAATTTATTCTGAGGAAATTAAGCGACCAGAATTACAATAGAAATACAGAGACTGAATTCGCGGTTAAGTTTTACGTTTTGTAAAGCATATTTCTGAGCTTATAACTTTCTTACTACATGAGCTAACAGACTGAATCACTAATTGCTTTGTCGAGGGCATTCTGCTGCATCCTCTCGTAATACAGATAAATTTACTACCACGTAATTCACTATAATATCGAGTCTGAGCCTCTGGCTTATCCTTTATAGCGTCGTAATTAGATATAGTAGGCTGACTGAAATGTTATTTGTTGATTCCGTTGCAAATGTAGATTGCTAGTACGTTATTTTGTGATGGTGATCATGTAAAAATTAATTCATTGTCTTTTCATATGTTGTTTGCAGCTAAAGCGCCTATCTCACTTCGATACAACGCTATTCAACCTCAACATGAACATCTCGATTTGAATGTTGTACCTATATTAAAAAACAATGAAGATCATATCTCTAAATCACCCACTCCTATCGAAGAAAACCCTGACCCACTTAAAAACCCAACATTGATGAACCAAGGCGATTGGCCGGAACGCAAGCCACAAGTTGAAAATCCTGCTCAACGAAAGCAGTTCTTAGCCCCCAACAAACACGATACCATCTATCTGCCCAAGATAGACCAGTCTACACAAGCATATTGGCACCTACCTCAAATAGAAATTGTCGACTGTCCTAAACATCACAAATATCCACATTTGCCAGATGTATTGAAGAGAAAACCTCGCGATATCCAAATAGAGATTCCTGATCTCACCAAAGATTCAACAATTTTGAATAAGCGTGACAAAAGAAGAGACGTTCCTCTACATCACATACCTCAAATAGAGATCCCTGATCTCGATAAAGATTCGACAATTTTGAACAAGCGTGACAAAAGAAGAGACGTTTCTCTGGGTCACATACCTCAAATAGAGAAACCGGATTCGACAAAACTGTTCATAGAAATGAACGAAAAGGATCCAGCGTGTATTGGGCGTAGAAGGTCATCAAGTTCAAGATTTAGAGAAAGGTATGATATTTTAATTCTTGCCCTGTTAATTGTTTTCACGGTTTCAAAAAAACAAAGATCCAAGACGGCTCAAAATTACCTATAGATAATTGAAAGCAATCATGAAACTATTCAACTGCGGTCTTGTTCGATTAGGCGAAGAATTTCATATTAAGCCAACTGCAATATCATAGACATAAAAGTTTTTCTTTTAGAGAATTGAAGTTGATTTAATATAAACACCTAATTTTTTAAAAGAGGAAATAATCATTTCATAATATAACTTTTAAATATTACGTTTTTTGTCTATTTCATAGGTCATATGATAGCAGTGCCCTCCTAAGTCGACGTCATTATCCTACAAGGAATTTTTATGTTCGAGTTTACAAAAATAATGACTTCTCCCGATTTGTTTATTGTAAATCGTGTTCAATGAATACGGTAAGATATTGTTTTTCTCGAATTCACATAAAAACATTTAATCTTTAATGGCTTTTGTTCATTTTTAATAGATTTTCACGGAGGCTACTCAAAAGCTTTCTCTGCCAATGGGGGCTCGGTATTTATTCGATGGTACTGGAAAGGAGATTTTTAGATCAGAGGATCTTCGACAGAATCGATCATATTATGTCGCATAAACAAAAAAAGTCTATCAGACACAGTTTAATACTGTCTGTATATGCAATTTTTGTCTTCTTTCTTCCGTTATTTCTTTCTTTGTATGTGCTTCTATTTATTCATCTTATGCTCTTTTTATTTTCTTTAAGTTTTGCATCGTACATATGAATTATGATAAAGATGAAATATGACTATATGATGTAGATCTTATTGGTTATTTTCACAGAAGACATTTTTTACTTTTTTCACCCATACTATTTCCTTTATTATTTTATAGACATCTTTAGTATAGATTTCGTAACAGATTTTTCTCCGCCTTCTCACGATCTCCTTTAAAGACCAACAAACTACAATAAATTTTACTGGTGACACTCACTAAATTCATAATGGCAAACAGAGAAGGCTACCAAACAATCAATTACGAGAATGGGGATGTTTACTTAGGCGAATTAAATGAAAACGGTGAACCAGATGGTACAGGTACTTACATCCATCATGATGAGCAGAGGCAACATCCGCAAGGTCGGTATGAGGGTGAATGGATAGATGGTCAGAAACATGGTCAAGGAACGCATCAATACAGAAATGGTGACCGCTATACAGGTTCATGGAAGGATGGTAAAAGAGATGGTTATGGAAAATACACCTATTGTAAATCGTCATCGACTGAATATGAAGGCTTTTGGGAGAAAGATAAAATGCATGGCAAAGGTACCATGAAGTTTGCCAATGATGATAAGTACGAGGGTGATTGGGTACAGAATGAAATGATATCGAATAATGCTACTTATACTCATGCAGATGGTACAGTATATAAAGGTAAGTGCAGTACATAATTTGACTTCTAAAAATACACACAGAAAAGTCATTTGAGATTTCTAATTAGTTTAGCAAACAGAATTCTAGTTCAAAATACTCTAAAGCAAGAGTAAAACAGAACGTTTTATATTGCACATGCCTGGATTTCAGAATTATTTAATAGCTTATCACCAGCTGTGCAGTTCAAATGACTAGGACTAAATTTTCTCGATATACTTTTGATGTTACTCTCCTTTTCAGGACAATTTTCCAAAGATAAAAAACATGGAAAAGGCACTTTGGAGTATTTCCATGGTGACAAGTACGAAGGTGAGTTCAAAGATGGCAAGAGGGAAGGAAAAGGTACATATACATTTAAGGATGGTATGCCTAAAGACGGAGATTATAAGAATGATCAGCGAATTAACAAAGATTTGGCTGTCATGCCAACAACGAAAACAACTTCGGATCAATATAATCAATCAAAGGAAAAATTACCGATTTCTACCGAAGAACAGGCAAATTAATTTAACTTTGTAATCAAAATAAAACTAAATGCCCATACGTTCTTTGATACGATTGAAAAAGATAGAAAGAGTTCAATTTCATTATAATAATTTATAGTATTCTAATAGATCTATTGAGTAAGAAAAAAGTTGAGAAATTCATAACATGCATCTTGAGGGTGAGGATGTCAGTGGATGTGAGTACCGGACCCCACACCGAATATTACCATGTTTCTTTGAGTCAATGAAGAATAGATAACTAAAATAAAAATGTACAGATTCAGTGAAAATAGCAAATACTCTAGAGTTCGTTTATATGCTTACCCCATGATGATAATGGCCAAGAAGCAAATGAAGGCGAGCACTAAGAAAACGAGTCCAAGAAAAAAGTTTAATGATGCCTTATAGATACTGTTCGATACAGCGCCTATTGTTTGATGACCAACCGACTCAATGATGGTCGCGTGAGGGTGAGGGTGGCTGAGGGTAAGGGTGTGTAGCAAGGGGATAAGTGCAGGATCCCAGCACCTAATTTTACTACTAGGTGCTGAACAGGTGCCGTAGGTGTCGAATAGGTACCATAGGTGCTGTAGGTACTGAATAGGTGCTGTAGGTACGGAATAGGTGCTATAGGTACTGAATAGATGCTATAGGTGCTGAATAGGTGCTGTAGGTGTTGATAAATCTATAAAAGCAATATAAAAATATAGTGGTGGACAAACGAATTCGATAATAGCGCTTTCCATTACGTTCATTGTTTTTCCACATATCTTAATGAGCACATCAAATGGCTAATCAGAAATTTACCCATTTTTTGATACTT